CCATAATTTTTCATCTACGATTCATTATAACGATTGTTTATGCTCACATGTATTTACATATTGTAAACAGTGACTCTTACAATAAAGTTTTGAATTGAATAGTAACATATGCAATTTGACTTTTTTTCATCTTCTAAGGGAAAATTTTAAAACATGTACCAGTGCAAACCATGATCATAGGCTAGACCGGATGTGCCGGCTGATATTGGTCTGCACTGGTCGCATAGGTACAATTGGTTGCCGTTAGCAGACAAGGGTTTAATTGATCTACTTTAAATCATTGAATGAAAAAATAAAATAATATGCAAAACTTCAAGAAGAATATAGAATTTTTGTAATATTTACCTCCCTTGCCAGAAGTGGCAGCTTTTGTGTACATAAAACGCCTGGGTCAGCGACTGGGTAAGTGAGAAATTAGTGTTGAAAAAAGATACAATATCAGCTATGTTTCTCTTTTGACTGATTTATGCTTCCAAGAGAAAACTTAAATGAAGGATCATGCAGATTCATGAAACCTTACCTTTTGGTTGGATTTTACGTTGCACAAACACAAGTGGTTTGAAGTCAACGACCTTAACCACTAGGCCACGAACGCCCCAGATACATTAAATGATACTTTATGTATGTATGATAAGAAACTGTATGGTATTTTTCAATATTTACATAGGCGGAAAAAAAACAGGAGAACTCCTATTGATCACGTGACATCGTATGTTCCGGACAAAATTTGACACCACCTTTACGCCCGCCCGCCATTTATGATCCCAATTTAGTCCCAGTTCTTTTAAGCCTTACAAAACATATGCGTACATATAAGCAAAATGCAGCAAGAATTGCTATTTAATAATTTATAGCAATATTTCGACCTCATTACTCATCGACTAGTGGCTGTTTTGCAAACTTGCCGGAGTTAAATTAAGCGGTTGGTTCCAAGTACATAAGGTAAACTACTTACTTGTATACATGATATTCATTTTTATTGTTTAAAATCAGTCCTAATTCTTTATTTAAATAAAAATATTTATATCAAACATCTGTTAAAGTCGGATTGTTAACTGATGTAAATGGGGCTTTTAAATGTGTACTGTACAAAAGTCAAACATATTTTTCAGTCTGGTATTTTGTTGTTGCAACTGCTGCCTTTGTGGAATTGCGAAATGTCATTTAAAAGGAAAGCTTTTCTAGGGAAGTCATTTACCACAAACTAATGAATTTGATACATAACCGCAAATAATGTTCTTTCTACAAAAAAAAATGATTATTAAATTATTTTCTTCTTGGAATGTAAAATGTGAAACGATATCCTTCAAAACAATTAATTGTATAATTAATTTAAAAAATGGTGTTTTTTGTTTTTGTCGTTGTTGATGATGATGATATTGTTGTTGTTGTTGTTGCTACTGCTGCTGCTACTGTTGTTGCTGCTGCTGCTGCTGCTGCTGCTGCTGCTGCTGCTGCTGCTGCTGCTGCTGCTGCTGATGATGATGATGATGATGATGATGCTGCTGCTATGATGATGATGATGATGATGATGATGATGATGATGCTGCTGCTGCTGCTGCTGCTGCTGATGATGATGATGATGATGATGATGATGCTGCTGCTGCTGCTGCCGCCGCCGCCGCCGCCGCCGCCGCCGCCGCTGCTGCTGCTGCTGCTGATGCTGATGATGATGATGATGAAAAAATTAATATTAAAAAATGTAAACGATCAATAGAAGAAACAAAGAGAAACTTTATACTGTACGTTATTATTGTAAAATAATTTATGTCTTATATTCATCTTACTAGTATATTACAATTTGAAAATTTGAGATAATTATTTGAAAGAATGTTTTGCACTAAAATGTCTTTAATTGGCTAAGAAAATGATCCATATTAGGTTTTGGCTTTTATTTTTTTATTCACTTATTTTTTCATTATTATTTTGTTTACATAATGTCGTCTCATGAATATGGTAAAATATTTGACTTCTGAAATTATTTTAGTTAGAAAAAAAACGCATTGAAATTATGCAATTGTTTCATATAAAGATCTATCTGAATTTAGCTTTCCATATTTGTCTTATCACACACCGGAAGTATTTGACGACATTTTTACCACATCTGAAAGCACTTGAATGTTTGCAAGTCAGAAAAGTAATGCTTTGTCATCCTTCCGATAAACACTTGATATGATTTGTTTTAGAATATGAAATTTTAAAATGTTGTACAAAATCAATTTATAAACAACTGCTTGATATTTAACTACGAGTATATGTACAAGTAAATATAAAGAATTTTTTAAAAAGTTTAAAAAAGTATTATTATAAAAGAAAACTATGGCTAATAATGGTGAGATGTTGCCCTAATTTTTCTTGCATATCAGACTGGTGTTTCCGTTAGTATTACCCATGCCGGAAATTTCATCTGACATGGGGGTACCAGATGAGTCGCATGGTATACAATAGCGTCATTTAAGCGCATATTACCAATACGTCGTCTATTATAAAGTGTATGAATATTCTCGAGCCGATCGTTATCGTTGCGGATTCGTTTTTGTATTAGTTTGGAGGGTCTTCTTTACGGCAATATAAGGCTCAAAGCCCTAAACCAATTCAACTGTAGGGGAAATTTCCGCGTGAAATGGCCATTTATTAAGTGCGTTTTTTAAAGTGTATAAATTTTCGTTATAAACACCATATTCTCGAGTTAACCGTTAAAACACCACTCGTCTGATTCCGTTGCAGATTCGTTGTTGTATTTGTTCGGAGGGTCTTATTTACGGCCATGTAAGAATCAAAACCCTTACCCAAGCAAAACGTTCGGTGGATTTCCGCGCGGCATGGTCGTTTATTTGGGCCCTCGATTTGTTCTATCTCTATATAAAGTAATTGAAATTTTGTGAAAAACACTATATTCTCCAGCCGACCGTTAAAACACCACCCGTCTGAGACAAGATCAAATAAATCCTTCCATTTCCTGGCCTCCGTGACCCTTATATACAACCAACAATAGTCAAGGATACCATGCGGGGGTTACATGTTACGTAATTCAAAAGTTACAAGCATTGGACGAATTGTGACCTATGCGGGGTCAACATCAAAGAAAACAGAAGTCGCATTGAAATAATCTATTGACGTAGAGGATTGATATCATATTAAAAGCGACTGACGGCAAAACAGTTTAATCGCTGCAAGTCTTTACTAACAAGAAATTGTTAAGTTGCTTTATTTTCAAATAGAAATTAAGCGTCGGAGTCATATTTATGGACAACAACAGTTGTACCGTGAAATTTAAATATTAAGAAACATCCAGGATTTATTTGTTCTGATTATGCTTTAAAAGGTGTTATTTTTTATCAGTTGTTTGGATTTTTTGCATAGATATTACAAACTTACAAATTTATTACTAGGTCTGTTCTAACTATATTTCTTTCAAAATTACAGATTTTTATTTATATTCAAAAATGCTATCTACATCACAATCATCGACGTTTGTAGCATTTGGCTTTTTTGTCTTTGCAATAACGGCTTTATTGAACGTTCCGGTCGCAAGCGTTATGTTTGTTGAATACACGACAGGGTTAAATCCAGATTTAAAATCCTACGAAATATTTACCACAATTACAAGTACTGAAATAAGCTGCGGAAGAATTTGCAAGGAGAGGGTGAGTTGAAAAATATATGTTTTCTTTCGATTTAGAATGTTTGATATTCTACAGACAGAACTTTTCAATTCATAACAAGTTTTTTTTTCTTGTTTCTTTTATTGGTAAATTTATCAATTAATTACCACAGCACTGAATTTTTCCTGCGATGAAGAAATAAAATATACATTTATAATAATTCGATAATACTGATTTATAGTTAACAGTAATGATACAGTTATATCTTTTTTCTATAAGAAGTCATATGTTGTTTTGATATATGATTTATTAATCCGGCTTCCGGTACAGACCGGAATATGTAGATCGAGGATAACTGTTCACGGCAGTAACGAGCATCTGTCGCGTTTCCGCTAAACAGTTACCCGAGAGCTGTAGATATTCCAGTATGTGACGTCAGTCGTCCTTTGATATTTTTTTTCATGCATATAAGCAAAAATTAGGTAAAATAAAAACATTTAAGACTTTATCCTACATTTTCATCCAATCAAAGGGCTTAGATCCGATTGACTAAAAGCACGAAAAATGTCCAGTTCTTTTTAACTTTTGAAAAGTTAATTTTTTCAAGCTGAATTTATTAACGCTTCCTTTTATTTTATAAAAGCGTAAATAAAATGTAAATAATCTAGAACCGGTTCTTATTATCAGTTATAAAGTAGAGATAGAGTATAGAGTTGGCTTTAAGACAGTGTGCTGGACTATTCTCCATGGTGGCTGATATGGAACACTTTTAAAAGACGTGTTGTCGCACTGACGTCGTGTCGTCTTCACGCGAACGACGCGCGCCAAACGGCGTGTTGTCATGCGGCGTATTGTTGCGATATCAAATTGTCGCTCGGCTCAAATCGAAATATTGGCTATTTGCATATATATATGAGCCAAGCGACAAGTCGACATCGCAACAACGCACCGCACGACGATTCGCCGTTTGGCGTGCTTCGCTAGCGACAGGACGACAAGACAATAATGCGACAACGCGTCGTTTGGCGCGTTTGGCTAGCGATAAGACGACAAGACACAAAGGCTATAAGGATATAGCTTATGTTCTCGCTATCGACAACGCAATGCGCAAAATGTACCAAATCAGCTTACATAATTCTCTGGCTTAATATACTAGTATAAGTACCTGTTAGAGCTATGAACCTTCGGAAAAAGAACCGGACCTCCAATCATACTCTTAAATAAGTATTTTCCGCTTCAACTTGCGCCAAGGCGTGATGGCAACATCGACACCTATGCTGACACAACGCCTGAATGAGTACAAAAGCTCTTCCTAAAATGAGCTGGAGAATGAATAAATTGTTTGCGGGGCTGGTGGTAGGGCAACTGGGTTAGTGGGAAAGGGCTTTTCCTAAGCACTTACACAGGAGTCTTCTATTAATATAGAAACTTAAATTTCAAGACGTGTCCATATTTATTAATGTACTTACACAAATTACAATCATGGAGCTCGTATATAAATATATCCGTATCTTTTTAACAGAATTGTGAATCCTTCATCTTCCAAGCCTCAAACAAAAATTGTACATTGTATAGTGTTTTCTTGACGTCGCCTGATGACGTAATTGATGGAATATATTACGTCAGATCAACTGCCGTGGAACATGTTGGTATGCCATTTAGCTTACTATATAAATTTTTCTTATCACATAAACTACGGCGCATAAATACAATTTAGTGTTTGAAATTATTTTTGTCCAATAGGATTGCAGTATTTCAAATGAATCGTAACACGTTTACTTCGGTAAATCGGCAAACTGTTTATCAGTCTAGTAAGTCGACTGATTAACACTTTGCCGATTTACCAAAGTAAATGTGTTACGATTCATTTGAAATACTGCAATAAAAAAACTTTTGATTCAAAATTAATTTCCAATACTAAAGCACTTCAAAGGATTGCAAGCAATACAAAAGTCCCCTACCAATTAGAGCCCTGGAAGAAGTATTTCAGCAGCACTTATGGGCCAATGCCTTTAAGTATGCCATGGTTGAAGACACGAATGTACTTTTGAGTTGTACGATATATTTTCAGGGTTTGTCTGTATCATCATAGTGTACGCGTATTAAGTTTCCTGCTTCATAAGGAACATGTTAAAGCAACAGATAATCACAGACGCTTGTGGGTCAGACCCTGCCCTATTTTACTCAATTTGTTAGATTTGATAGTGTGTCTATAAGCTAATAGATTCCGACACAATCGAACTACAATAATTTCCGTATGTTCAAAATGGTAATTTTCTTTATAAAACGCATGTTTTAAGTAACAAAGGGCCATAACTCGAAAACCCATAAAAGGGTTGTAATTGCATTTGGTGAGGGTTTTTTTTTCTTAATTCATATATACATTAAAAGGAATTAATCATACAGGTTTTAAGATATAGATCCGGATAGCCGGACTATTGGACGGACGAACGCCCGGACGGACGAACGGACAAACTACGTCATTTTGATATCCTTGTAAAATTATCAGCTGAAGGCATCAAATTAAAAAAATTATTATATTTACATGGTAACCTTTAAACATTTTCTCCTTTTTTCAATTATGAAAAAAATCGACGCAATTATTTTCCAATTAGATATATCGTTAATGAATTCTATGATATATATGTTATTAATGAATTCTATGATATATATGTTAGTATGCGTCTATATTGGAACCAGGACAAAAATTTCTTTTTCCTTCACGCAATAGATTGAGTTCATTTTATTAAATTCTGTCTTTTATTTACCTTTCCCAACAAAATTTCTTCATATAAAAACAATAGAAAATTCGGCTCTTTTATTGTGAGAAAAACAAACACCTTGATAAAGATGTTTCCAAATGGAAATCAATACTAAATAGTTTAAAGAGTAAATAAACCACTGTATCAAAGTTCCCCGATTTGTTATTTTAAAAAGTATTTTTGTTTTCAATTGAACAAAAGTTAACCAATGTTTTTTCCTGTTTGACGGAAATGTTAGGTGTCTATACGAAATATGTTGATCGGTGAGATTTTGCAAACTTGTAGACTTGGATAGGGTTGACATTAGAGGTGCAGACAAATAAGGGAAATAAGAGTACATGTACTTGTGTTAAACTATTTAAATACAATCTTGGACAAGGTTCTGTAGATACGCCTATCATTTACTGTTTTAAATTGCCAGTGTAATGTCAACATTATTATCATCATCATCATCGTCATCATCATAATTATCATCATCATCATCACTATTATTGCTATCATTATTTTAATTATTATTATCATTTTTTTATTATTATTATCATTATTATTATTATTATTATTATTATTATTATTATTATTATTATTATTATTATTATTATTATTATTATTTTAACGAGCTTTTATGATCGCTGCCGAGAGCGTCATCATTTTCGTTGTGCAAAAGGTTGAATGTATCAACATGAAATTTGGAATACTTGCTTATATAATCATGACAATGTGCAGTTGTTAGACACGGGGCATAATTGCGAAAGCAATACATTTAATGTTATGCCGTTTTTTAATTTATATTTTTCAACAGACAAGCTTAAACACGGTGCTCTTGTTATTATTTTTATACGGGCCGAAAAAATATAGTAGTATATGTTTTTGATGGTTTTAAAAGACAGACAGAATGAGAAATGGAAAATATGCAATAATATTCTAGTAATGCTAATCAATAACTTTCAAACTTTCAGATGTGGTAGAGACAACATGCAGAAGTGGAAGTTTATCAAGTTCAATGACAAATGTTGCTCTCAATAAACCAGTGACCATGAGCTCTATGCATCAATATCCTCCAACTCCCACGCCAGAAATGTTGGTAAGTTCTTACCACGCTTAAAGTCATAAAAAGAATTGTCCATCTCTCAAAGTCAGAAAAAAAACATTTATCATTTTAGGGGTTTAAATTATGTTATGTCTCAATAGCGAATGATCAGATAAGTGGAAGATATCATAGCAAACAAATGACTTAAAAAATGTTGTCTTTTTTGTTTTCCTATTTTTTTTATTTATTTTTTTTTTAATATCGACCCTTGTTAACAAAATATGGTAAATGGTGTTTCGTTCTGACCTAATGAAGTTTGATTTGAGTGGTCAAAACTTACAAAATAGATAATTATTCAATATATATTGATATTTTTAGACGGATGGAAATCGTAGTGATATAGGCCTATATTTATATTTCTAGACGGATGGAAATCGCAGTGATATAGGCCTATATTTATTTTTTTAGACGGATGGAAATCGTAGTGATATAGGCCTATATTTATATTTTTAGACGTATAGAAATTGTAGTAACATATATAATTATATTTAAGACGGATGGAAATCGTAGTGACGTATATCCATGCCCTCACTCAGAACTTGAAACAAATCCTGAAGCGATTATTGATCTAGAACAAACATATGGCATCACTGGAATCTACATTGTAAACCGGGTAGACTGTTGTCGTAAGTATAATTAACATTTTAACTTTTTTTAACAAAACAAAAACATGTCGGGCAGCTATCTAGTTAGCTTATGGCAGGACAGTCGCTCTACTCAGGAGCCCGTTCGTGCCTGAAATAAGGCACAGAAGGACACCTAAGGTATTGTCAAAAGTCGCCAACGACCTTCGCAGTTTTGTTGTGAGGTGGAAACCAAACAAATAATTTATTGTTTTGGAATGTGGTCAGTTTAAAGTGCCTGTAATGGTAAGCTAGAAGCAAAATTAAAATTTGGTGGAATCTTTAATAGTGCCATCTCTAGAACAGTGATTTACAAACACAGCGTCCTAGGCCAATAAATTTAGATGTGTACTTATGACTCAGTACGAAAGATTTGGATGTCTAATGAACGATGTGGGACCTGGAAAGAGTGTACACAAATTATACGCTTTTAATTTATTTTATTAGCTTTCAAGAATCGCGGCTCTCGCCATCATCTTTCAAAATAGTGCTCATGCGTAGTGTAGTTAATCAATTAAGTAAGAAGTTAGATAGAGAGGCCCGTAATGGTTATAAGTATATGATTTATATGGGGATGAACGAAACATATGATGGAAATTAAAGCTAAAGGACATTTAATAGGACGAATTCGCACAGACACAGACAAACAATAACACATATAAACATGTACGTATATGAACCTATGACACTTATACCTTACACTCGCATGGAAGGTTTCATCTTATTAACTTTTTTTTAAAGAATTGGTTATTTGTTGTTTCCAGCACAGAGATTACATGACCTTATTATCCAGATAGGGGACACCTTGGCCGACCTTAAAACAGTTTTCAACCATACGAGCCCCATTGGTGATACTTGCACGATCTTATTCGGTGCCCCACAGCATGGACGCTACGTCAAGTTGTACATAGAGGGAACCGAATATCTGACGATATGTGAAGTAGAAGTCTACAGTGACCTGTAAACAGCTCAACAAAAAAACTAATTTTCCAGATATTTGAATATCTGATAGACATTGTAAAAATCCCTCGATTACTTGGGCAACAAGTTGATTATTTTTCATGGTTTATTGTCTTATATATAGATTGATGCTAATGTGTTTGTTTGTTTGTTTGTCGATTTATAAGTCACTTCGATACTGTAAAATTCGAAAAGCGTGTCTCGATAACAATGCGAATTTTAAGCACAAGGGAACACCCGAGTACCACCATCGATCTTCGCAAAATAGCTAGATAGCTTCATTATTTGAAAAAGTTCAATATTTTAAGTCTCTGTGAGGATTCGAACCTACATCAGTGAGAGAAAAAGTATCTGAAATCAGGGCTGCGTTTCATTGATAGTCCTAACTTAATCCTAAATCCTAGGACTTATGACCAACTTAAGGAGAAAAAGTTTTTGCACTTAAGACCGTTTCAAGTAATTGTCCTATCTTTTGTCGTAAACTTAAGACTTATGACCAATTCGCTCTCCTGAAAAAAGTAACAACATACAATGGCACGCGCATTATCACGGATTGGATTTACTATGCAAATGATTATAAAAAGCAATAAAAAAGCAATAGTTGTAATATCAAGTAGATACATGAAGGTAAAAAGCGATTTCTATATTGCATTGTTAGTCTACCATAATAATCATTATCTTTATATTGGATTCCAAGTCATGTTGGTATACGAGGAAATGAAAAAGTAGATGCGTTAGCTAAACAATCTTTACATTTTCAAAAAAAACTAACTTATTGTTACTTGCTTGTGATTTTAGACCGGCTATAAATAAACTAGTAACATCTGAATGGAAAGCAAATTGGGACAATGCCGTTTTTAATAAACTTCACGATATAAACCTATCTTTTGATGTCTCAGCATCTCTATTTCTGTCAAACCGCCATGATCAAACAGTTCTTCTTCGATGCCGAATGGGACACACTAAAATTACCCACTCTTATCTCCTCACGAAGGACAACGCCCCTTTCTGTGTAGTTTGTAATGAAAATTTTACTGTCAAGCATTTTCTTCTTGAATGTCATGATTTTTCACAGGCCCAAATAGATTTTATTGTGTTAATTCACTCAAAGAACTCTTTCATACAATTCCATAAAAAAAAACATCATTGATTATTTGAAAGAGATAAACTTGTATTCTAGGATCTAATTGGTTCATTTTTATTGTCATTTACAAAGTTTTACATAACATTTGAAGCCTATCATAATATTCGGCACGATATGGCCAATTATGTGTTGACGTGCCCTAAAAATCCAAACAAAGAAAAAAACAAATTATAATAAGCTCATCATCATCAACGAAAAAACATCAATGACAGCAGCATATTACATAACTTGAAACAATCATTTCATTATCAACATAGTCAAAAAGGATATAGTGAGAACCTAACTATTCGCCAGACACGTCAAAATTTAGAACATCGGAAACTTTTTACGAGGAATATTTAACAAAACGCAAAATAGCCATAGTTTCTACTTTCTGGTACATTTTACGAGAAAGTGTGTTGTTTAAACAACATGATTTCCTTCCTCGTTGAAATTATGTTAATAATTAAGTCCCGTACAATATAAGAAATAACACCTTGTACTTCGGACGTCAGCAATACAGTGATCTCACAATAAGCTCCAAACATTGAACGGACTTCTAATACTATCTATTCTTAAATGACAATTGTCAAGGAAAAAAATAGCATTTTAAAGCACTTCAAAGGATTGCAAGCAATACAAAAGTCCCTACTAATTAGAACCCCGGAGGAAGTATTTCAGCAACATTTAAGGACCAATGCCTTTTAATTATACCATTGCCGAAGACACGAATGAACTTTTGAGTTTTACGATACATTTTCAGGGTTTGTCTTATCATCGTAGTGTACTGAAATAGTATTAGGTTTCCTGCTTAATAAGGAAAATGTTTAAAGAACAGGTAATCAAAAGATCAAAATTTCACACAGGACAGTAATTATGTGGATACTCTATTGTTTTCTCTATTGTTCTTTTTAGCCACACAAAAGAAAATAGCCACATAAAATCATTCCGGAATGAATGACATCAAAGAGAAAGAACAGTTACCTATTGTCCCTCAAGCCACATAATTACTGCCCTGTGAGTGCATATGAACGGACGAACGGACGAACTATGTCATTTCGATATCCTTGTAAAATTATCAGCTGGAGGCATCAAAATCATAAATTATTATATTTACATGGTAACCTTTAAACATTTTATCTTTTCGAAACGTTAAATTATATATAAAATCGACGCAATTATTTTCCAATATGAATTCTATGATATATATGTTAGTATGCGTCTATATGGGAACCAGGACAAAAATTTCTTTTCCTTCACGCAATAGTTGAGTTCATCTTATAGACGCCTTGCAGAATGTGAGGTCAATTTCAGGTCACTCATGTTTTATTTAGTGGAGGCAGAAAGCTGTTTACTGATAAGCCTCCAGAACAAGTTTAAAGAGAAGTTATTTAACAATATTCATACTTTAATTGTTAAAATAAGCAATTGTTATTAGCAAAATATATCTAACATGTTTCAGACATTTGTGAATTATTTGATGTTTTTGTTTGTTGGTTTATTTGAGGTTTGTTTAATGTAAAAAATAAGGATATTACTTAATGGTGAATAAAATAGTTAAAGGTTAAAAAAACTAATGAAATATCAAAAATGAATTATTCTAATGAAATATTTTTTTATAAAATTCAAAAATGGTAACATTATGATATTTCCATCTGACAGTCGGCTCTCAACATAGAATATTGCTTTTATTGAAAACCAATGAAAACTGTGCATTAACATAACAAAATGTTGCGGAACAAAATATTATGCTACTACTTTAAATAGGTTTTTAACAAAACAAAACATATTTATTTCATAAAGGCATTCTTATTCAAATTTATGGATGCTCAAATAGGCAAAACACAGAAAACACAATGTCATTACTTAGATTCCTAAATACTTATTGTGGAGAAGGGATGCATGCACAAAAGCTATAAAAAGATAGGACCAAGAAAATTAAAGCCGTGGCAACGACACAAATAATTCTTTGTTTTATAATGTGACCAATTGTTTTGCTTCATGATTTTACTATGCTTCATAACATAAATGATTATTAAGTAACTGATGGGCCTAATAATTTCTTCATTCCACACAGTAAATTAATTGTTAGCTAAAATTGAAGTTTAGCCTTAATTTTTTTCGTAATTTTTTTAACAGGCTTTTCTGCTGAAATCGAACTATTTTAAATGACTAGGTTATGCATTTCAAAAGTCAAAGAATGTCTGTATAATTTGGATAGATGTTACACAAATATATGTATTTAAGCCAGTCTGTTGTTTTCATTTTTTCTGTATTCTGATATTTTTAATTTTTAATTGTAGTTATGAAACTGAGTTTATGCCTGAGGTTAAAAATAAA